TTTACGAACTGCCGTTAAACCAGTAGTGTTATCGATATTGGTATACATAGAAGAACGTCGATAGAAATTAAAATAGCATTAGAGGGAACTCGAAGATTTTTTATTTTATTGACAAAATCGGTTGTGTCTTTAAGGTAGGCGCGATGTTGGCATGCTAGAGGTAGTAAGAAATGATCAATGTATTCTGACACTGCATATGACTCACTACCACAGTCAGATATAATCGGGCGGCCTTTAGGGATTTTATTCGAGATAAACCACTCCTTGGTTGGATTCTTATGGATTTTAGGCAAAGTGTACAAATGTCTCTCGCGACAATCAGGTTTGGCAGACAGATAGTCATATTGTTTCTGTTTGAGATAACTAGTTTTGACTAAATCGGCAAGAATATTATTAATCATGTTAGCAGTTTCTTTGAAAGTTGGTTTCGGTAAAATGGCATAATGTTTAGGATTATTCAGTTGATTCTCTGCTTCTGAAACTTAATCCTCCCTATTCAGAATGACACAACATGAATCTTTGTCACTCTTTTTAATAACAATGCTATCGTCTTTGTTAAGTAAGTTTAACGCTTCACGTTCCACTCGTGTGAGATTAGGCTTTTCGTGTGTTATGGAAAGGTTCACTGTTTGGCTATTCATACTAGCAAATGCTTTCAATATTTCAGGATGGATGGCGGCCTGAGGGGGTGTCCACGTGGATTTAGGAATAAACATTGTTCTAGCACCACGTGGGGGGTGGTTTCGAAAAAAATATGTGCAGCTAAGATTTCGTTGAAATCGTTCAATGGATGGTCGGAGATAATTCAAGTTAGCTATCTTTGGTGTGGGAATAAACTTAAGTCCACGGTCTAAGATTGAATGCTGAAGGGGTGTGAGAATTTTGCGGCTCAAGTTAACTACAGTTTGGCCTAGCGGTGGCCTCTCAGTATTTTTATCCCCAGTAATTAGTTTAAAGACTTACTCGATGCTTGAAGCTGACGTATCCAAAACAAATAAATGCTGTTTGCTGTTTCAGGAGACCAATGAAGATTATCAACTGTTTCGAATTCTTCTTCGTAGGGTGGTAAGATTGTTGCGCTGTTGATACTGGACTCCATCATCATGTTGTTGAGGGTGCTTAGGTTCTGTTGTGCTTTCTTCGAGATTTTATTTGAAATGGGTATACATGTGAAGAGGATCTTGGAGTTTGGGAAGGTTTTGTTGGCTGTGGCGATTAATTTCTGGGCTTGGTTAAAGGAGGTCTTTGGTATCTGATCACGGTTGTTGAGGCCTACATGAAGAATAATGGTAGTAGATTTGGGATCATGATTCCAGGATTGACTGTATGTGATGGATTTGGGCACCGGGGTAAGAATGTATTTCGGTGTCTGAACTGGTTTTGGTAATTCGATTCAGGTTAGATGATCCATTTATTAAGGTTGATTTCTTTAGAGCAGGTAGTTTCCATAATGATTTGTCCTTGGTTTGGTGATAATACGGTTTGGTAGCGGATATAATGGTCGTCGACGGTGTGATTGGTACTGGTTTGGTAGTTGTTAGAATTGTAGCATTGGGAACGGACTGGGATCTGGTTCGAGGAGGGGAAGGTCTGGATACATGTCTCGACTTGGATGGAGACTGAGGGGTGGTTTGCTGGTCCAAAAACGCACAGAAGGAAGAAAGGTTGGCGGATCCTGGATCACGTGGTGAAGATTCAGATGGTGTGGAAGGGGAAGACGAGTCTGAAAGTGAGAAGAGAAGGGGTGTGCCCTCTCTACGAGAGCGTTTACCTATGTCTGCTGGACTAGGGGTAGGTGAACTTCGGGCTCGTTTAGGGGTTTGGTTCGGCAGCGTGGTAGCTCTAGATGGTGCAGGTGTAGTGTCCATTTCAGTTAGTAGAGATATGGTTACTCTGGTTTTAGTTTCGTTGATTGTTTGGTAGAATTTGGAAATTACAGCTTGAGTGAGACGTTTCCCATAGGAGCGACGGGCCCAGGACAGGGCATGAGAAACGATGCGGTCGACGGCAGGTGATGATAAAGACTTGGTACGAATGGTGGTCAGCTTCTCTTGAAGTGTGGTTTGGTAATGGTCGATCAGGACCTGCGTAACCTTACAGAGCCATGTCCGATTGAGGGATCTAATATTCGCGTCGACAGCTGATGTTTTCATTGCTGGACGGATAAAACTATCCAACTCAGAGACTTTGCGTTTGAAGGTAAACGCTGGTTGGCCTTGCTGTTGATGGAGGCACTGCAAAACTTGGAAGAACACCTTCACAAAGGGTTCTTCCTCCTTATGAGTGGGGACTGGTTGGCGTCGGTGGGCTGGTAGTCGTTTCTGTTGTTGGTCAGGTCGATGGTTACCTCTTGATTGGTAGGCTGTGTTGTAGGTAGGTCGGCGATGGGGTGGGATATAGCTGGATGGGTTGGTTGGTGGTCGGCGATTGGTAGGTGGTAGAGGTCGATGGAAGACAGGGCCGTTGTAGGGTACGTGATATTGGTTTGGTTGACGATTAGTGTTTCTATTTCTGGCTTCTTGCCCAAATAACTTGGGGTTAGAAGGGAATGTACAGCGGATGTAACAGGAGGAAACTGTATATGCTAGCGTGAAAATGTTGGGATCAAATTATGCAAAAAAGTCAAACTGGGTTTGGGGATATATAAAGCAAGATGAAAAATGCAAAAAAATATATATTTAGGTGATAAATAACGCTAACAATGATGTGAAAAATTATAACAAGTAAAACAAAAACTTTCACTTACAATATTTAAACAAAGGCTCATTTAGAGCAATGAATTTTCACTACATTTACCTGTTCGAATTTTCACGACCTTTGCAAAATGACTATGACAATACACCTCAAATTCCCGACATTTTATATGATAAAGGTTAAAGTAGCAGAGTTCGCACTGAAACTAATATAAGCACTATTTCGAAAAGTGATGCTATTCCCTTACTTAGATCCCTGAATGAAATACAGTCTCAGGTTTTTTATGACGTTCGCCAGTATTGTCTGGACAAAGTTAATGGTATAAACCGCGATCCATTTAGAATCTTTGTTACTGGTTCAGCTTGTACCGGTAAATCTCACCTTATCAAATGTATTCAATACGAAGCGTCCCGAATTTTTGCGAAAACTGCGGAAAGTTGAGATGACATCACTGTTCTCTTAACCGCACCAACTGGAGTGAGTGCTTTTAATATTGGAATGTCAACTATTCACAGCAGTTTTTCAATAAGAAAGGGGTTCTCATTTCCACCTTATCAACCATTGGGACAAGAAACTATTAATACATTTAGATGTAAATATCGCAACTTACAAATATTAATTATAGATGAAATTTCAATGGTAGATCATAAGCTTTTTTGTTACATTCATGGGCGATTAGGGCAAATAAAGGGTACCGATGAGTTATTTGGAAATATCTGTGTCATATGTTTTGGAGATATGTGGCAACTAAGATCAGTTAAAGGTAATAGTTTATGCCATGGAAGTGTCATAGACCTATGGAACGGTAATTTCAAACTTGTTGAACTTACTGAAATTATGAGACAAAAAGATGATTTAGCTTTTGCCCAAACATTGAATAAAATTAGACAAAGAAAAAAAAGTGAACCAATGCTTGCTTCAGACGTCAAAATGTTACAGAGTAGGGTAACTGGTAAAGAAGATGATTGTCTGCACATATTTTCTACTAATCAGCAAGTTGATGATTATAATTCTAGAATGATTGATGAAAAATGCCCGAATTCTGTGTCCATCAGTGCTCTAGATTATTCAAAAGATGTTAGAACTATTAAAATGACGCTTAAAACCACATGTGTTAAAGTGACTGATACACCATTAGTGTCTTGCTTAAAAATAGGTGTAGGGTCAAAAGTTATGTTAGTAATTAATTTAAATGCTTCTACTGGCTTGATAAATGTATGTTTTGGTCAAGTAACATTCATTCAAACTCAGATCAGAAAAATCAAACTGACAAATTTTTTTTATAAAATTTGATAATGCTAAAGTTGGAATAAATGAAGATAGTGTTCCACTTCCGCCAAATGTACCACGTGGTAGTATTGGTATTGAGAGATATGAAAGCCCTCATGTTAACTATAAGGACGATGTTAGACGCCAGTTCCCATTACGTCTCGCCTATGCAGTTACTATTCACAAAGTACAAGGTCTAAGTCTCGATAGAAGCGTAATATCACTTCATAAAATATTCCAAGCTGGTCAAGCCTATGTTGCGTTAAGCAGAGTTAAAACATTACAGGGTCTTACAATACAAGATTTTACGGAAAAAAACATATATTGTGATGAAAAATTGAATCGGCATTAGGAGTAATGGTTACTTTTTTAAAACCCGAAAACGAGACCATATCAACTGATACTAATATAATTTTACACAATGTTCAGGGTTTATCTATTCATATAGAGGATTTACAGAAACACAGGAAAATGCTAGAAGGTGATATCATTTGTTTAACAGAAACATGGCTAAACAATTCAATAACTCCAGCAAAACTAAAGTTAAATGGTTTCCGTCTTCACCACCATCCTCGAAGCAGCAGCTATGATGACACTAGAGATTTCAAATTTTTGAAAGAAAAGGTGCACGGAGGAGTAGGAGTATATTATAAGCAAAACAAAAATGACAACATTTTAAAATTGGGAGTTTTAAATATAAAACACATTGCTTTGAATATTTTGGATAAAAATATTAACGTAATTGTTATCAATAGACCACCCGTAAATCGATTAGATTTATTTCTCCCAATGTTAGAAAGATTATTAGTTGAATTACAAGAATCTGGTTCAGATTATGTTATTATGGGGGATTTCAACCAAAATATCTTGGAGGGTCATTTGTCTATACTAAATTGTTTTCAAAAATTTGGTTTTCAACAACTTGTTCAGCATTACATTACTGAAGGTGGGACACTTATAGATCATGTTTATATCAATAAAGAAATTCCGTCACATAATGTTCACATTTCACACATACCTGTATATTATAGCTACCATGAAGTTATTAAAATAACCATACGATAAGTTATATTGATACAAGATTGAATTTACCCTTTCACAAAACATTTCATTTAGCTTGGCTCTTTACTAATGGTGGTCGAGTCAACACCGGGCTTGAGAGGGTTTGAAGTTCAAAAAAGTCTTACAGCTATCAGGCAAAGTATCACGGGCCACGCTCAGTGCTGTTCACAGCTCTATTTTACTCTTGCTTTCTCGCCCTTTTCCTCGCCTTTTTCCTCTTCTTTTTTTACCCTCGCTTTCTCGCCTTTTCCTCGCCTTTTCCCTGGCCTTTCTCGTGGGCGAGAGTAGATATGGCCTCATCAGGCTTCCATATAAAACCCCTGCACCTGCGGAGATGCAGAAATTCTCCATTTAGCCTTCTTTTTCTGTCTCTACACCTGTCAACATCTGTCCAAACAGCTACCAGAGGCTGAAATAGAGACAGATGTTGCGGTCTAATATGTAATTGGTATAGTTGAAATTGAATTTTATGATGGTATTTTTCAGTAATGTCTCCACCAGGTGATAAAATATTTATATATTTTGTCATATATATATATCTAAACAGACTTAAAACTCCTGCACCTGCGGAAATGCAGAAAGTCTCTTTTTAACATAGCCTTCTTTTTCTGTCTCTACACCTATCAACAGATGTCTAAATAGCTACCAGAGGCTGAACTAGAGACAGGTGTTGCGGTCTAATATGTAAAAGGTATAGTTGAAATTGAATTTTATGATGGTATTTTTCAGTAATGTCTCCACCAAGTGATAAAATATTTATATGTTCTGTCATATATATATCTAAATAGGCTTAAAACCCCTGCAAGTGCGGAGATACAGTTAGTAATGAGCCTACATCAACCTTAAATCATCAAATATTCAAATAATTTACTTTAGCGTAGATGGACAGGAAAGGTTCCAATTTTGACGTTTTAGATTAGTCAAAGGAAGTTACAATTGGAGGCAAATATATAAATCATACTGTGTGTAAAGCAAAATTGAGAATTTAAGATTTTCACCATATTTTTCGCTTGTCAATTCGAACTTGTCCAAGATCTCATCATTATAGATATTAACACCAAATTTCATTTAAATTGGATGAAAACTGTAGTCTGTATTGTATTCACAAACAAATTTTGACGCGTTTTTCATAAGTCAAGGGCAATAACTCCAAAACCATTCATCGAAAGATAGCCAACTTCAGATTTGTCCAAGATCTGATCATTATAAATATTCACATCAAATTTCATTTAAATTGGATGAAAACTGTAGTCTCTATTGTGTTCACAAACAAATTTTAAAGCGTTTTTCATAAATCAAGGGCAATAACTCAAATACCATTCATCGAAAGATAGCCAAATTCGAACTTGTCCAAGATCTCATCATTATGAATATTCAAACCAAATTTCATTTAAATTGGATGAATAATGTAGTCTCTATTGTGTTCACAACCAAATTTTGACGCGTTTTTCATAAGTCAAGGGCAATAACTAAAAAACTGTTCATCGAAAGATAGTCAAATTCGAACTTGTCAAAGATCTCATGAATATAAATGATCATACCAAATTTCATTCAAATCAGATAAAACTGCGTTCACAAGCCAATTGCGGACGGACGGACCAACGGACCGACGGACCGACATTATAATGTGGGCGTATAGAAATTGATTTAAATCCAGGCTAATCCTATATAATCCTTACTTAACATATGATCTAATGGAGCCCCACAGAACTTGTATTTTCAATTTGAATTTAAAGGGATTGGTACTTTTAAAATCTAATTAAAATAAGATCCAAATTCCATTTTTAGTTTCTTTTTTATTCACAGTTTTATAATCACATGTGAGCTTACACTGTCTTGTTTAAGTGGCACAATACTTCTTCGGGTTTCTTGCTTGGCCCAGAAAAACGATAACACTTTTCATTTTATGATTTTTCATAAAGTATCAAAGCTATGATCATAATATTTAAACCTCATATTTATATGCATATTAGACGTCTTTTCACCAAATAACAGCTTTCTTGGTTAGACAATTTTTAAATACCAGCCTATCTATATCTCCTAGCTTGACAATATAATGCCGAAAGTATATTTCTCCTTTTCATTGAACAATAGCAAAATAAGGACAATTTTTTTCCATTTTGGTGATCCCAAAACTCCTGATCTGGTTTAGAGCTTGTTTTTCTCGCTGACGGATATAACAATTGCACAGAATTAGAGAGAAATGGAACAAAATGTCACCTGAACAAACGGGACAGGCAATATCTATATTTTTGCAGAAATGGTGGCCATATTGAGCATTAATTCAAGATGTGGAATCATAGTAATTACTTTTGTCATTTTTTGTTTTAATGAATTTTTAAAAAGCTGGTATTGCAAAGCTGTTCACCCGAAAAAGCTGTAATTTGGTGAACAGATGTTTGATATCCAGGTAAATTAAAAAATCTTAAGTCGTTTTTGTTTCTTCTATCACGTGATGAAAAAAAGGGCGGGGTCTCTGTCGTTCATATACACTATATATATTGATTACAGAATATTATTGGACTGTTTTCCTGTCCTGTTCCTGTTATCTCTGTAGACTTTCAGCAATATGTTACTTCAAGTGATCATACAAGTGTTACTTACACAAGGTAAGGCTAGTTCATTTATTTTGGATTTTCCTTCTGAGGGCAAAAATTAAGATGATTTTTATGCATAAAAAAACTGCCTCGGGATGTTTATTAATTTTAATTAGGTTTCATTTAGTTTAATCATCATTAGCATACATGTAGAAGACATGACTGCTTTGATATAACGGTATTCTTTGGTTAATAATTTTGATGTGTCTTTTTTAGATGGATAGAAGTAAATGAATAAAAAAATCCAAAAATAAAAGTACGATTTTTTCATATTTCAAAGTCGTTGTGAAGGTTATCACATGCATAATACGAATATGTTTTGGCAATAATGTCGAAACAATAGCATAATAATTCAGTTACCATAAATTTTGGGTAAATCATATTTCGTTGTACTTATATCCCCAGAATTCCCTCCCTAAACAAAAATGCCCTTTTTGATGCACCTAATCACCAAGTAGATAACAATCTTAAATTTCGTAAGCTTGATTAATCTTAATTAGTTACTTTGGGATTAAATTTATTCAGAACGCATTTTAAAACTAACCCATGTGTGAGTAATACAGTCGACAAGATAATGTCTTTTTCGGCTCAATTTCTACTATCCGTAGTATTTTTGAGAATGAAATTAGCACGCACGGTTCGTCTGTCTTGAAATAAAAAACGAGAATCTGTTTATCGCCATTTATTTATTATGAAATTCTCTCGCACAGACATTACCCATATTATGACTTCTAAACATGAAAATGATACGAACTATCGGACGATATAATGACATCACTTCCATCCGTATGTTTTTAGTCAATTGCAGTCCCATTATGCGTCCCATTTCTGATTTTACAAAAGTGTCACAAAAAGCTGAAATTAAGCTCTTCCTTTAATAGTTTAAGAGATAAACAACGAATACAGCTAAATAGACTAACTATACACGAAAAAAAAACCGCCAAATTGAAACATTTCATCAGAAAAATTAATATATCGTACCCTTCTTCACAACCATAGCTATGTTACACCTCAGAATTTAGGATTAGTGACGTCAAAGAGTAGTAAGCGATATAGGAATAAACTTATACAATATGTAATATGTTTTCCTAGAATGGCAATAGAGAGAGATATGTATACAGTATGTGTTATAACGATAGTAATAAGGTTTTTCACTGTTAAAATAGATAAGATTAATTTATGTCAAAGATTTCCATATTCAAATCAATTATAATTCTGTCTTTTGGTGTATCTGAAAATTTCTGTATGCATCATTCCGATTGGAACCACGATGGTTGAGTGAGCTAGACGCTTGCTCGCTAACCCGAAGGTCCAGGTCGAGATAATACCTTTGGAATTTTCATTCAGTTTCCTCCTGTCAGTGATACTGGTCGGATCGGACAAAAAACCATGTGCAGTGGTTTAGCGAGGACTTCAGTGACAGGGGCCACCCGAGCTGTCCATTTACTAATCTGGGAAACCGGCTGTTCATTTTCGACAGTTGGAAATCGAAAAAGAGCAGGGTAATACCGCTGTTCCTACAAAATTCCCCCATTGCACACAGCATGACGTTGTCCATCCTTATTAGCCCAATTAGTTGCAGATCAGTAGGACATAAAAAACAACAACGTTTGTGGTGCTTAACTTTTAAGAATAATTTAAATGTTTAGATAATAGAAGCGTGTTTCAATAATAATTTAGTTTAATAGATATATCGTCTTATATAGAGATTCTATTCTTTAATCATGGTACCTGGTAAGTCCAACTGATGAACATATACACTTGTTGACCAAATTTGATACTTTAAATTCTAAGAGGTAGTATCTTTTTAAATGGCCATGGCGTCATAATCTGTTTTGGTGGAATATAGGAATCACTGGCGTCAGACAGTAGGTGGGAATGGTCAAATAGAAGCTGTAAATGTTCCGATACACAAACACTACATGTAGTAGAAAACCTTAAATGTTACGTCATAAATATGTTATAAATGATTATCGATATATAGAAAACCATTGAAGCTTGTTGAGTTCAAATAAAATATAAATCATTTTGATTTACTTAAAATAGGCAGATATCATCAATCATTTTGTCTTTTGATGTATAAATTCCCGTCACAAACAAGGCAAATAAAACATATGCTGTTTGTCTATAGCAGAGCATCGTAGTTCCAGAGAGTAGCTAGGCAATTTGCTTCTGAAATCAATTTGTGAATAACATGATGTGAATTTGCCAACTTTCATAACTTTTAGCTTTATTCTATATATGCGACAAAAACACATTAGACTTTTATGATACTAATCAAGATCGAAGTGTTTTTCGAAACGGACCTCCTCAGTTTCAAATCTAGACATAAGTGAGTTAATGTTGAAGACTATTGAAAGAGCTGGTAATAATTAAGACACATTTAGTTTTGGCATATGTTGACCAATTTTCGTTCTCTCAGTTTCATTTTAGATGTTAAAGGTTCATCACCCGTTGGACCAATCGTACCTTAGTTTCTTAAATGGGAATTTGTTCAGCTAATCTATTCAATAAAAGTGTTCACAGACCACCTTCGAAATTTGAGCCTTCATATCTATGTGTGTCCATATTTATCCGCGTTTGAAAGTTAAAATGACGACTCGCCTTTTCTCGTCTGCCACATATAGAAAAAGAAAGTAATATATCTAGTTTGAGGTCGCCTGTTTGAATGGATTATCTGATTTTTGTGCAGTTCTAGTACTTCTGAAGACTATTTACATATATTAAAAATCAAATCAACTCCCTCAAATAGCAAACCATGACCTTTACAGAATTGAACGAACTATCTTGAGTCAGAAATACACTTCTTTTGAGCATTTAATGTAAGCCATCAAAATTGCTTAATGTCTACCGATTAGTTTGCAGATTAGTCTATGGATTACTTTATAGTCTTAAAATTCTCTCGACCGATTTTGTGCACGAAAATAAAGGTTAATCCCTGTGATTCCACCAGTACAACATTAATTCAGTACTGGCGTTTTACGGGGGGCGCAGGCGGCTGGACCGGCTATGCCCCCTCCCTCTCCCCCCTACTTTCAATTTTTTTTTATCATTTCGCGAAGTGAAAGAATGCCTCACCCACCTCCTCTAGAAAGATTTGTGACCCCTGATCGATCCCCGTCACCTAATGTCTCATAGAAACGCCATTGAATTACAGGTTGTATGTCCTCAAATCAGTGACAGTCTGAAAAAAGGAAATAATCCAAGGGTTTATTGCGTATGATGTATTATTTACCATTGATTTTGGCGATATTTTATTCCCAATGACAACTATCAATTAGTTTTTGCATTATAAAAAAATATGTTTTTGTTTCTGCATAGACGCTGATCGATAGCTTAATTCTAGCAGTCTGACAACAAAGAATAATGGAATGCAATTTATATAACATCCTCCACTCATTTTAGCTCGGATAACATTATCCTTCCATCTTATATAAGACAAAATTGTCCTTCCATCTCATATCAGATCAGATAACATCCTTCTTACATCTCAGATCAGATATCATTCTCTTCCCTTTTCAGATAACACCCGTCTTCCATATAAGATCATATAACATCCTCCACTCATCTTGATAAGACAACATTGTCCTTACATCTCAGATCAGATAACATCCTTCTTCAGACTTCAGAGTGTACACTGAAGATAGTATGAGTTGCAGCCCCAGTTACAATGATTAAATGGAACTTAATTGTTTTACATTTCAGGTATTTTCGGTGCAGTGCAATTGGATGGAAATGAAAACTTTGGGAGTCTACTGAGACAGAAAAGAGCAGTAAGTATAATTTATATATTGCTTTTAGACATTCCCAAATAAAGAAACACACAAAGAATTATTGTCTACAATAATAAAACTGGGAGGGGAGGTTGATTTAGGTCTTGAAAATATGTAAATAGTCTTTTTTTTAATAACTTGGGCTAAGATTGATACTATTCTATTTTATTTAATCTGACGATGTAAACTTGCTTTTCCTTTAAATTTCCTTTTCAGTCTAGTTATGATTTAGTTGATAGCCATACAATATGTTTAAAGAAATCAGACCAAGTTACAGAATCAGGTGAGCACTTGATGATGGATTCCAAATATTATGTTCTTCAGCCTAGGGTTTGTATCTTTATCGCGGAAAAACAAATTTCTGCTTTTATGCCTTGACAAAAACTGAGGCCAGCACAAATGTCCAATTAGACAGAAGATACAGCTTATAAAGGGAAAGAATTCTGTCCGAGCTGTAGGTTTATTTCTTTTGTAAAAGTCTATAGAGACAGAAGCCCTGGCTAAACTAAGTGAACCAGGCTTAAACAAGCTGAAATTAACGTCCTACTTTTGTGATTCTGATTTGATGTTTTGTTTACCTTAAATGAACAACACCATGCAGTATGCAATCAGGGAAATTCTTCTGAACGACCATATCCTTTTCTCATATCAGCTGCTCTGATCTACATCAGGGATTTAGAAATCTAGAAACAACCCCAATCTTCTGTATATACAAGATATAGAATTTGGTGATATCAATTTATGTTTAGGTGTAACGGAGGCCGACAAGACAATGATTGTTAACTTACACAACAAGTTTAGAGCCGAAGTAAAACCTACTGCTAGCAACATGTTAAAAATGGTAAGAGGAAAGACAATTATCTTCGACTTCGTTTGAGAGAGATTTCAATACGTACATGTTATGTTAAAGTCTACTTTGTTTTCAAGAAATCTTATATGGGGATTCATCATCTTCACAATGTCAAGACATTACAAACTTCACCTTTGACTTTCTTTTGTTTGCAAATGCATTTGATTGCATTGTACGCAAGTTAATACAGCCAATCAGAGGCTTCAACAGAAAGTCTGTGAGGGCTCTGATTAGCTGTATACGCTAGTGTACAATCCAATCAAATCGCTGCATTCTATGACGTTATCTTCACAATGTCAAGAAATTACGAATTCGTCTTAAACCTTGACTGATAACTACCTCTCTAGTGTCACAAACATTTGTAAATGTAGCCATTTGATTGAATTGTAAGTTTGTAAACAATATGGCATATTGTTTACAGTTATTCTGTCGAAGGCTCTCATAAGCTGTATTCGCTAGTGTACGTCCAAACCGCTGCATTCCGTGACACAAGAAATATGGCTATTGCGGTTTCGGTGCAAGGTGGGTTCGTAATAGCTGAACATTGTGAAGATGAGGGTTCAATAGTCGTTGAACATTGTTTTGGAATAGATCTATAGGTCTATATTTACTGATCAGATTTTGTTGAAAAGATCTGTTCAATTTTTAGAAATGGAATAATGAAATTGCCAATATAGCACAGAAATGGGCTGAAAACTGTGATTTTCACCATGATTCTCCGGTTGCCAGAAAAATTCCAGGTAATCATTGTCTTTTTTTTAAACTCTTATTATCTACCATCTGTGGAAAAAACACACAACTGAATAATAAATAGTGAAACCATGATGGAATTCGAAAATGAATGAAACAGGATAGAAGATGTTTGTGGATTCTATGGAGTTCGCTCCAAATATTTTTTTTTATTTTCAACAATGATAAGCAACTGCCGGCATCTGGGAAAATCTGATCAATCATTGGATTAAGTCGAACGGAGTACATCAATGACTAGAAATGTCAATTACTGCCAGTTGCCCCTTTTTATCTGGCCTAAGCAATCTGTTTTTAGGACTATTCCCTTAAATTTACTAGTTTTAGATAATTCATTAATCCGCGATCCGATGGGATGACTCCAGTGACGTTTCTCTGAATCATTAGGTAGAGGGATCGAGATGTCAAAGGGGGCTCATAGCTACAATAATTTTAGAATTTAATTCAATTGGAAACCTTTCCTTCCAGCCTCCCTTTTCTATAGAAACACCAATCGATGATGCAAACGACTATCAAACTGAATGTATAAAGATAGCTAGCCAGGCAAGGTAACATACGCCCACTGGCAGCTGTCAGAAATGATTAAACAGTCTTTAGTGATTACAGGGTTGCATAATATAGCTAATAGAGTGAAACGTCAAGTCAGACAAGATATTTCGGTGAAATATTATCCGATCATCGCGAAAATCGATAGGGATCATCTTCATAATGACATTGACATACAAAATAAAAATCAAAAGAATCTGTAAAGAATTGTAGCCTGTAGAGTGAGCACGAGTTGCACAATATAGCTAATAGAGTAAAACGTCAAGTCAGACACGATATTTCGGTGAAAAATTATCCGATCATCATGAAAATCGATAGATCATCATGAAAATCAATAGGGATCATCTTCATAATGACATTGACACACAAAATAAAAATCAAAAGAATCCATAAAGAACTGTAGCCTGTAGAGTGAGCACGAGCCAAATGTGAACGGACGGACGGACCGACGGGGTGATTACAATATACGCCCATCTTACGTGTGGGCGTATAAAAATCATTTATATTTTAGGACGATACGCCGTTGGTCAGAGTACAGCGACTGGTACAGGAAGTTTCGAGGCTGCTATAAATCTGTGGCATGATGAAAAAGAAGATTTTACATACGGTGCAGATGACAACGTTTTTCAGAAAACTGGCCATTATACACAGGTAAGAAATTCAAGTCATCCTTAACACTGGGTTAGGTAGGGTTAGGGTTAACCTTATTTTGTTTCCGTAGTAAGTAGTTATTTTCACGCTCAAGGTTAGCAAAATATACAATGCAAATGCAAAGTAAATCTTGCATCAACTCTCATACCCTTCCATCTATACCTGAAAGTCATCTTGGCCTTTATCAAAAGAAGGATGATACAAATTAAGTTTGTCATTTATGTCAAAAGTTTAGGAAGTGTCATTCGTCTTATTGAAACTTTTATTTTCTTTGAAGCAGACAAAGAAATATCGAAAAATAACACAAAATAGAAGAGAGCGATAAAGTTTTTATGGGTTACTGATATTATTGGTATAAAATGCCTGCTTCATAGTCTTGACGGTTGAGCATCACAATTGGATTAAGTCAAAAAATAGTTTCAGTGGATGGTGTTTGATTGGACGAACTGTTAGAATCCTGCAAAATGTCGTTCTTAATTATATTGAAGGATATGAAGATAGGCTTAGTTTATAACAATAGAATTCTGTTGACTGTCGTCTGCTTTCTTTCTGAGTACGCGCTGATAAGTCACGTGATAGGCGAATATAGTCAGTTGACATCTTGAACTCTATCCAAGCAGTGGGATTCGCCTTTAATTTCACTACTTCGACAATTGGGTGGAGAATCTCTGAACTCTGAAAGTATTTTTGGAGGTTGTAGATCTTTTAAGCAGTAACTTTGGTGTTTAATCGCTTCTACTAACCTTCTGGCTCGAGTTGGCCCGTTCTACCAACTTTGATATAGAACTTCTCATTTTTTCTTCTCCTGCACGATAGAATTTTAGGACTGCAGTATTGGTCATTTTATTATTCAGTATGAGTTCCAGACCAAAACGAAACACAGATCCTCTACGATATTGGACATCAGAGAAAATACGCTTTGAACTTTCTAAGCTAAGAATTTTGGTTCCGAATTCATTTTCAAGGGCTGAAATGAAGCATTATATATAGACACAGCTTTATGGAACAACAATCACTGGTTAAAGTTTTATGCAACGTTTCGACGTGTTTCCCCGGTCGTCCTCAGGCACATAATGAGAAGAAGTGATGGGCAAACTATATTTACATTAATGCTTATTATTAAGAACACACAAGAGATAAATGGTTTATTGATACATTACATTAAATTTGAAGTAAAGTAAATGAATTAAAGAAGATTAATTGAAGATTAAATAAACAACTATTGCTGGTATTGGAGTCTTTTATTAATAGAAATTACATTGTTCATATAACTAACTATGCTTAAAGTTGGAAATTGTTTGAATATGAATATTTACAAGTTGATAAGTTTATCATATGCATGCGATTCATTCAAAGACTCCAATACCAGCAATAGTTGTTTATTTAATCTTCAATTAAACTTTTTTAATTCATTTACTTTACTTCAATTATTTTACTTAATCAGCCTGTATGTTATTTTAAGAATTATGTACCTCTTATTGTACCTGTTAAAATTTAATGTGATGTATCAATAAACCATTTATCTCTTGTGTGTTCTTAATAATAAGCATTAATGTAAATATAGTTTGCCCATCACTTCTTCTCATTATGTGCCTGAGGACGACGGGGGAAACACGTCGAAACGTTGCATAAAACTTTAACCAGTGATTGTTGTTCCATAAAGCTGTGTCTATATATCGTACTCACAATTGCTGAATGCCATTCAAAGACTGAAATGAAGCAGTTGTTAGAAGCAAACTTGGATTTAGAGGAGATGTCTACTGGCTCCAGTTCTGTAGCAGTGTTTTTATCTTTATCAGTTCCAACGACAACTTTGACTGATTCATCCAATTTTTCTGCTCAAGCATCAGCGACTATTCACTTGGCAATTTCATCTGTTCCAGCAACAGATTTGACAATCTTACCAACAGTACAATTGGCAGTGATTTCAACTTCCATAATACAGACAGTGCCTATACCAGTTACAGCTTTGACCTTTGCCACTACATCCATTCAACCAACTATGGTTGTAAGTTTCAATAGCATCATACAAAATACATAGTGTACCGAAGTAAAAAATTTGTTTTCAATATATTCAGATAAATTGTTGTTTTTGCAGATAAACTGGTGGGAGACTAATTTGGTCGGATGTGGCTATGCTAAATGTGGAACAACCAATTATCATGTTTGTAATTATGCTCCTGCGTAAGTTGTTCTTAGAGGAATATAACCGTTTTATTATTAGCTTTTACAACTGATATATAGCTCAGTAGTGGCTATCTATATCTTTTCAGAATGATTATCTTAAATACAGTTTCCCGGAATTAAATGAAAAAAAAAACGCCACACGTCATCGGTAGTTATTTGCCGAGAGAATGTTGATTTACTGTTATTTAGCTGTAGATTGACTATAAAATACATCCGATTTTCATTTTGGAAAGTGATGCGGATGGCTTAGATTCAGCTGGATTAGATGAGTTAAGCGTATATAAACGATTGCATCATAAGGAATAGAAAACCTCTTTACAATCACTTTTTAAAATTTTTGGTGTCCAGAGGTTTTATGAAAATGGCTGTCAAAATATAAGCGTTAGGCCCTGTATGTTTTTATATACATGTATCTATATTGTAGTGGTAATGAAAGAGGTAAAACTAACACACCTTATGAACTAGGAGAACCATGCGCAGATTGTCCTGATAATTGTGATTCAACTGGCAAATTATGTGGTAAGTTAGTGTGATTTCCAATTTCGCTGTTTGCAATCCTATGACCCTCACATCCCCAAAACGTTATTTTTCTTTTTTCTAACCCCTGTAACCCCAAAAAGTATGGCTGTATTGTAACCTTATTTGTGAGAAATTTTACTTAAAAAAAATCATTTCATCGTTCGATCTAGTTATTTATTGATAAAGACGTTTTGTTTTTGATGAAATACGATGAAAAGGTTTAAGAGTTATCACAATTTTTATTTTTTTTTATTTTACATGTTGTATTATTATTATTATTATTATTATTATTGTTATTTCAGTTTGTGACAATACATGCTGGCACGGAACCAAAATGTCTGTTTCAGAGTGTAAATGTGACTGTTTAAACCAACAGGCCTTTGTTACACACAGCTGCAAACGTAGGTTTCTTTTTTAACGTGCATTATTCCTTCTGGACACAGAAGGATTTCGATGATCATTGCTCAATTTCTGCTATCCAATTGACTTTATAGACATTAAATCTGAAATTTCCGCCAAAATCGTTCCATTGTCTATATCTATCCGGCGTAGTATACTCCGGCGATTTCATAAAATCGTTTAAATTTACAATTATTGTATTATTTGCCAATGTATATAATGGGCTGAAAGTGAAGGAACTTGTTACGTATGCTTGAAATTGAGATGATGCAAATAAAGATAAAAACGGCTTTACCCTTTTAACTGTACCGTTTCAGTTGATTGTAATGTTAAAGAAATTGCTCCATATTGTACTGACAAGGTTTTTGATTGTGAAAATCTTGGTGTATATTGTCCTCACAGATGTAAAATGTGTCCAGGTACGTCATGCAATCCTTTTTACTTGATTTTCGTGAATTGGGGTTTTTCATTCCTAGACCTGTTTGGTAGCAATCAATAGAATATTATTCATATTTCTAAGTGAACACGATACTTTGCATGCACGCTATTGAAAACTACGAAATACAATTTACGTGTAGATTATAAACACATCACTTTTCCATATGTTCGCATTACTATAACTCTGACCTTTTTTCATTTCCAGTTGCTGATTATAGAAGCGTAGAGAAGGAAGAACCAACATGCTATGGTATATAACAGCCCCAGTCATCCTACTGATATTATTCTACCACTCTTTATTCTATTGAATATATGTTAACCTACCAATTTACATTCTAAACGTTTAACATAGAGATCTCTCAATCTATCAATTTTCTAGTGTCTAAGATGCACGTGCAATCTGAATCATTTGACCTAATTTAGTTTCTATCTTGGTTCTTACAATCAGGCAAACAAACATCAAACACTAAAGTTCACTTTGTATCCGGTGGTTGGCTCAACTCGACGGCAATTTTGTTATTTTTAAGTAGCTTTTCTACGTGTGTTTATGGATACCTTTTCACGTAAATTTGCTTCTGATGATCATATCAAAATTGTACTCTTTTAAATACAAAAAAACTGGCTTTTTAGTGCCGAATCTTTCTGAATAATATTGGAGGCGATTTTCATCCACGTGCATCTGATTTAAAAGGGATTGGGGTTCAGGTCACCTGGCGATGCACAGCATCTCGTTAGATGTTTAGCAAAATTCTCGCAGATGCCAGCAGTTGCTAGTTGCAGTTGTCGAAAATCCAGATTCTGTAATCTGCAATTCTGTAAAATCTAAATTTATAATTTTTTGGATGTAACTAAAACTGTTATCGATGTTATTCTAATAAAAATCTATTCCTAATTCATACCATAAAAACTCTTTTATTCTTTTCTTATCCAGAAAATTGAATTCTTCTTGAATACATGACCGTAATCCGTTCTGTACTTCTTGAAGAAGGGCAAACATCCAATCGAGGTTGGGGGCGGGTCATCAAGGCAACGAATGCGCATAGCGGAAGGAGTGGGGGGTGATCTGGCGATTTGCGTAGCGGTTTCACGCCGCGTAAAACTTGTAAGAGTACGTCTGAATTTGACACACTTTATAACTACAATAAACGGCATAGAACCGAAAAAAGTCATTAATATTCGTTCAACGAATTACTGAAGGATCGCGCCCATGATAACTGATGTAATGACAAAGGTACCACTAAATAAGGGTTAAAGCTTGTTCCAAGCTATGGTTTCCGCATATGAAATGAAAGATCTTTTCAACACAAAATGTATGGCAGGGGGGAAAAACCTACTGCTGTGTAGAAATGTCTAATTCAAAACACAAATGTAACACGATGCAATACCAAACACCTCATACGTCTAATGCAAAAGACAAAATACAAGAAACCTCTTATACAAAATATATATAACCTCTTATGCACAATTAATTTTACAATCTGACACATCGCCCATAAGCATTAGATGACATATCTCGTTAACATTAGTTACATTTCTCCACTGAATTACCTTTATTTAGGTCATTGTCAAGGTCGAAGTATTTTCTAATTGACACAATAATTTCTCCCAAACTAAGGGGGGTAACTTTTGTTGGGTTATAGTAAAAATGGCCCCAAGTCAAAATGTCCCAAAAGTCAAAATAGCTTTACTTGATGTTTTTAAACAATCTTGTTTTGAAAATATTTGTATTTCCCCAAAAGGACTGATATATCAACATCTTATCTCAAATTTCGATCTTCAATTTTATTTAAATAAACCAATCAAGTACAGATACATTCAACATATTGCTAAATTAAGATTATTAGCACATAATTTAAATATTGAAACTGGAAGATTTAAAAAGATTGAAAGAAAAGATAGAAAATGTAACCTTTGCAACCTGTCAGAAATAGAAAACGAATATCACCAATTGATCTGAATACCAGGATAGCTAGTGGAGCTGAGTTATAGCTTACACATGTCAGAACTGCAGTGTTCCGTATGGAAACTATTCAATTAGTATAGAATCGTCAATGGAAAGGTACTATTTTTAATACTCATACAACAATTTGTTGTAAAATAAATAGATTGTATTTTATTACTTAATAATAATTATTACATCTTTAGAAATTTTTTTTATACTTATGAGATTCAACACAGTTTCTATTAAATAAATAGATTTTGATATATTTAAGGAATGAATGTGGATCTTGTTATCGTTATGGGGAAATACACGCTGGTTTATCATGTGACAAGACAAATGGAAGCGGGCCATGTACGATACATGTACCATTTAGTATGGTGTAATATGATGACTATTAATTTATCTATTTAAAACTTAAAAACCTGTGGTTGACCTTTTTAACTTTGTCAAATACAGTCCAATATTCATCATTTTTGCCCCAATGGCTTCATTTTTAAGTTGTCTTTCAGCTTCAAATACAACCCAAAGAAAGCCTAAGAATCTGTAAAATACTACTTTCATTACAGGAGTTGCACCCCCTCCTTTCTATTTATTCAAGCTGGAACCACACTTCATAAACTAACATCATCCAGTGATGCCTTCTCATGGACCTCTGTTTTAACATTAACAGTATCAGTTGTTAAGGGTATGAATTGATTTAAGTGGATTTGTAAAAATGGATGTCTTTCACATTGAACTGTAGTCATATCTAGGTAATTTTAAGTTTCCTTTATGTTCGGTTATTCGGTTCGATATTATTATGTCTTTTGTTGAAATGCTAATGATAACAGGATGAAATACATAAAGTAAGGGATAGCTTAAACTGAGCTCTCTTAGTTAGTTTAAATATGAGTTTCAATAGAAGATGCAAAACATTACGTTTTCAAAGCATAATACAATTGTCAAGAAACAGGGAATATACGATATATGTATTTTAATCAATGTCATGAATGTATGTAATGTAAGTTTGAAACAAGAAGCTGAAATAGAGACAGGTGTTGCGGTCTAATATGTAATAGGTATAGTTGAAATTGAATTTTATGATGGTATTTTTCAGTAATGTCTCCACCAGGTGATCATATGTATTACTATTGTTGGTAAATTGAACAGATATTTTGGGATATGATTTTACCTACGGCAATTTTAAGTATATTCTCATGTAAATATTTCAATAAAATGGAAAATTTGATATTCCTATGACCATGAATAAGTTCGTAGACTATAATACATATAATTTCGAAGCTGATATTACTAAGAAAATAATAATTCATAGATACAATTTTCTAATGAAAGTAACAATACAGTATTGTTTTTATTCATGTCTAAAATCTAAAATCAAAATTGTTATTAAACTTCAATTATATTCTCTACTTGATAGGTATATTTTTGAATGTTGGTAATGATGAGTGTGTATTTTGATTGTTATCTCCCTTTAAAGGGACAGTTGTGCAAATTTAATTGAGTGTTGAATACATGTAAATAGTCTTCAGAAGTACTAGAAATGTAAGAAAATCGCAAAATTCCTTTAAAAATACTTCAAACTAGAAATTTTACTCACTATTTCTCTATATGTCTTTTCAATATACCACAGAGTATCTTAAAATGGCTGGTCGTCATTTTAACATTCAAACGTGAATAATTCTGGGCATACATGGAGGCTAAAATTTTGATGGTGAGCTGTAAAAACTATCACTGATTAGCTCAGCTAAAAGATTCCGGCTTCTGAGACTAAAGTATGACTGGTCAAAAAATGGCGTAGCCTGCAAGTCCCTTTCATGTACAGTGTAATGTTCTTTTATGCTTGGATTTGTAATGTGTGTACATACATGTTGATAAATTAATGTTATCTCTAAAGTATTGTAAATGGAAAATGTGTAGATTAATGCCGATGTCCTGGCCAAACTTCTCTCACGAAACATTGCCCATGTTCATTAGTCTCATTTGGAGAAGAAATTTGAAATGTGATATACACTAGTTCAACTTACATACTACTTGAATTATAATATTGCCCTAAAGTGTATTACAATGGTAGCAGAATTTGAAGGGACTACAAGGAAAGATAACTCTGTATAAGAGTTTGACGCATTCAAATTAACTACGTTTGGTTCCTACATGGAAATGACACTAGAAGTAGTTCACAACCTCTTTGATTCTCTACCTTGA